GGAAAACCCAAAGCACAGACAAGAACACAGAAAAATTTTAAGAGAGTACAGATGCCATGACATTTATTAAAAGGCATGCTACAATGCTATAGTTGTTAGGAAAAGAGATTAGAGATACCAAGTCATAGTCGGCAAATATACAAATGGAAAGAAAATGGACTATACTGTAATGTACAGAGGCTGAATTAACCATGCACTACGCATTTAGAAAATATGTTTTTTTAATATTTTATCTTCTCTTTGCATTTATAACATAATTCGTATCAACAATCACAGAATCCTTTTCTTTCAATACCACAAACTGTGTTACAAATGAAAACTGGTACTGCTGCTTATCAAAATATACAAGACAACTGATGTTTATATAAAACCACTTTTTATGCTAACTTGTTCCCAAAAACCTTTTTTTCTTTTTTGGCCTCGTTAAAAAAAAAAAAAAAAAAATTTTTTAAAATTATTTACAGCATTTTCTTCTGTTAGATGAACATTCTTACAAACTGAAAGAGGGAATTTTATGAACAGGTCACATAAAATACCAGACGATGTCAGAGGCTCCTAACTGTGCTCGTTTTCTTGAATACAGTACTGAAAATGCCCATCCTAATCCATTCTGTTCACATTTACACTCTCACTTTCTTTAAGTAGTCTATTCACCAACAGGAAACAGAAAGTAAAGGCCGCTTTGCATTGGGTCTTCTTTCAGAAAGGAGCTGGGGGGTGGGCAGGGGGGAGAGATGCTTAACAGAGAGGAGATAAAACCGGAACAGTCAGTCTTTGGTCAGAGCAATGAGGTGACATTTTGATGCAAAACCTTGCTTGGTCAGCAATCTTTGTAAGTAGTACTTTCTAGATGTGGGATGGATTTTTAAAAGATCTGGGAAACAATGCAAGGGGAAAAAAGGCCAGAATATGATTTTTTTAAATGACACACAAAAACTAGCTATTTAAATATGTTATTACAACTAAAACATAGAGCCAAGAACTAAAAATAACACAAAACAATCTGTTTACAGTGCTGATTTAAGCTTGCCATAGGCAGCTTTCAATCACAACTCTTCTCACCAAGGTCACTGGACCAGACAGATATCCCTGTTCTCTGGAACATACACCTCAGGTAATGAAAACCACAAAGATTTCAGTCAGCTCCGTTCTTGGACACTTGCGTGAGGTTCTGTAATGAGTATTATGTGATGACGGAAAAAGTGTAACAGAGATTCAATTATACAATTACAATTATTTGCTTATATGAAGGGTCTGCGGGACACCATCCTTTTAAAACAATATAGTACTTATTTCTTGAAAACCAGAATACTGACACTACCTTAGTCTGAAATAGGAACAAAAAGTCAATTAAGACTACTGAAGAAGGCACATAAACTTTGGTCCTGTTTTGTTTCTCTCCCTCTATAAAACCCCCAAATTAATATTTTCGTTATTTTCTATAATTTTAAACCATTCACAACAACTTGTTACAATTTGCTCTGAAAAAAGACTGCAAATAGTCTTGTGTATAACAACACAGCTCTTTTAAAACAGCTGAATTACATATATATTTTTTTTTAAAGGAAAAACTTTGTGCAATCTAACTTGTATTTCTTTTAGCACAACAGTAGAATATTTTAATCTGGCAGTTTTATTCTACTTAACAAAAACAAACTAAAGGCCAAGAAAATGCTTTTACATATGGTCATACTGTCTCTTCTTAATTCTAAAAATAGCAGTACACATAGGTTTTCTAAGAGACTGGCTGATAGTCTTGAGAAGCAAGAGTTTTTAAGTGACACACATACATACAATAAACAAACTACACTTCTAAACTTATCATCTTTTGTCCAAAAAATATTTAGTAGGAACAAAAGAGAAATTGTGTGACAATGTACTTAATGTGTAAACATTGCTATCTGATGACAAAGAGGCTTTGAAAAGTTTCAGGAAACTCAAGAGAGAGACAGTCATGAGAGTTACTTCTAAGCAACTGGGGGAAAAAAAAACCTACACTCACTTGATCACCATCCTTGTTGTTGTCCTGTGCTGTTGAGTCAGACCCGACTCACAGTGACCCCTCCTTGGGTTTCCGAGGCAGTATCACTACGGAAGTAGATTGCCCCATCTTCCTTCCGAGGAGTGGCTGGTGGGTTTGAACCGCCAGCCTTCTGGTTAGCAGTCAAGTGTCTTAGGCACTATGCTACCAGAGCTCCCCCATCACCATCCTAGGTAGAGTCAAAGAAGGCCTTGCAATTAGGCAGGCAGAAATTGTCTCTAGAAACTGAGATGCACAACTCTCAACAACAAAATGTGAAACAATCCAAATAACTAATTACAATTTTTAATCTTAAACAAAATTTATGGCATTTTCTAAGATCTATTGGGTAATCTGACTCTCTGGTAACTTATCAATTAAGATACTGGCTCATTCTTCTATTGGTATTTTACAAAAACCATTATACTGTTAATACGAATTAATTACTTTTCAAAGTAAAACTTTTTGGCATAAATTTCTATTGTGAAATGTGTACTGCTATTTTTTAAATCTTGAATATATTTACTTTGTGTGAAAGTCAAAACACCTCCACAAGTGATAAGACAATACTTCTTAAAATAAAGTAAATAAATAAATACTATGACAGATCAACCGCGAGAAACCACTGCCTAGAAGGTATGGAGTAAATGCATGCCAAAATAGAAATACACAGATCGAGTTTTTCCACCACCCTGATTTTTTTTTAAATCCTTTTACAGAAACCATGCCAACAGAAAGATTGTAGACCTCTATAATTCAAACAGCAAACAGCCAAATATGGACAACATCCATGTATTACAGCTAATTGTAGACACAAACTGATGGTTTCAAACAGCCTATTTTTAAACAAGAATATTCTACTTCTCCAAATCTTTCTTTTGCCTCGTTAATAAATTAAACATATGTAATGTGCATGTGTCTGTACAATATTGGAGGAGTGTGTGTGTGTGTACATTTATCTATACACATACACAAATCCCTGAACAGGATTCAAATGTCTCTCAATCTGAAGGCCACTCCCTGCTTCAAAATTACATTCAACACCATTACCCTCTCCCTCCTGCTCTCAGCAACGCTTGTTTTACTTACAGTGAATGTTATGAGACTCATGACTTAATAAATTACACAGTAATTCCTAACTTAAAGCAAGTGAAACAGTCCAATTTAACATGCCACTGAAAATTATAATAATGTGGCGGGGGGGAAAGAAGGACATTTTGGAGGATTTCTCAAAGAAATTCTTTTCCCTCCTCTCAGTGTTAGATAAAATTATACTCTGTAAGTGGAAAACAAAAAAATCCAAGTAGGTAAATAAATATACTCATCTATTCAGCCAGTACTAACATGATCCATTTGTAGGGTCTCAGCTCAGCGCCCCCCTTTCTAGTCTCCCAGTTAGTTAACTGTTGCCCAGGGTTGGGAGAAGTTTGCTTTTAACCACTTAAAACAGCTCTTGTAGTCTCTTAATTTTTGTAGTATTTCTCTTGGAAAAGCCTCCCCGTGTTCAAATTAATTGCTGGAATGTACATAGAGACTGAGATATTCTTTTAAAAGTTGAGATGAGCCACTCTGAGAATCTGAAAAGTGTAAAGGAACTGGACAAAACTGATCCTTTTGACAAATTCTGCTTTTAAAACACCTGATCAAGCTTTGAAGCAGTAACTAACAAAAGCAAAGTTTCTTACTCAAAGGAAATAATCCGACATTATACAGTCACAGAAGCGACATTAAAATGTACTCTTACATTCAACCAGAGAAGGAGAATTGGAGGGAGGGAAGGGGGAAGGGAAACAGAGACCCACCTTCTCATACTCAGTTTATGTGGGCACTCAGTAATCAAGTTACATTAACAAGGAAAACAAGTTCTCACTTGAGTACTGAGGAAAACCAAGAAATCCTGAGACAAATTCTGATGGGTGATAAAGATGACACAAGATCCATGAATTTACATTTTACAGCCCAGATTGGTATGCTGTGACTGGCAATGACTGCCATCAGGTACAACTCCAAGAGGCCTACAGGTGTGCACTGACTTATTCCAAAAGCCATCCACCCTCCCCCACCCCACGTCTGCACCAAAGCACCAAAAATTTGAATAAAAACTATTACTTATTGAAAACTATTTAAAATTGCAATGAAAAAAATCTTTCAAATCCTTAGCAAACAGGGAAAGAAAAAGAACAGAATGCTCAACAAGCCCACAATACAGCATCCAGGATATTGAGATAAACTCTAAACTACTGTATCATAAGCACATAATAAGGCACATAAGAAGAAACAAAGGAAGTACACAGGGACTCTGGACACGCGTTAGAGAATTACAGTGGTACAAAAACCCTGGTGATTTCTTTTTCTAAAAGAAGACCTTACCAAAAATAACTTTTAAAAAATCTGTCAAACCATATGATAGACCTGAATAGTTTCCTTAAGACTGTAAACTTTTTTCTGAAAACAACTGTAAAAAAGTAGTTTATAAGTAGGATTATTTTTCCTTTTAAATTTTCCAAGATCGTCATATATTACTTAACAAGTAAGTGTCATTTTGAAATTTAAAACATGATTTTTCCTACTGAAGTTATTAGTTCTGACACCTTAAAGCCCCTGGGGACAGTGGAGACGCTTCACTTCTCCGAGTAACCACACAGTTCAAGACACGTATCATTCAAAGGAGTATCACCCAGAGGAAAAAGAAACCAGTGAAAAGAAAACATGGAAGTTTATAAATCTGCTTCCAATACAACTCAAGTTGTTGGTGTATCGTAATAACAACTATCAATCTATGGCAAATAATTTATCAATGAACATCATTTCCTACAGGGGTCAAACTTCTGAATCATAAAGCTAAAAACGTGTCATAAGTGATTTAAAATACATATATCAAGTAATTTAAAAAGTCCATATGTTTAAATTTTTCAAAGTACAAAGGGGGTTAGAAATGTTGGGTAAGGCGGATCTGGACTCAAACTCAAAGAAAATCTGCCCTCTTGAGATTCAGTTCAATAAGGAGATTAAAGTCCTGAAAAATATTTTTTTCTGAAGGTTATTTTCAAAAAAACTACGGTGTAAAGGAAAAATAAACCTTTTTATAGATCACATACTAGCAGGGGAATAAAGGAACACCCTTGATTTGTTAATATACTTCAATATCAAACTCAGTAGGAGTTTTTAGTTGTTTTTGTGAAAGAGGCAGAATTGGTCTTGAGCTGTTTCAGTCTTTGTCTGAAGGTTTCACGAAATCACGGTCCAGTCTTAGAGAAAAATTCACAGAAAAGTCAGATTGTGGATTTTGAAAAGGAAACTCTGAGGTGGTGATTTTCTCCAAGGTCATGGTTATGAAGCTCAATGAGGGCCTGGATTGCCTCTTCCACGGACCCCAACTGAATGAGTGCCATTTTGCGATCTTTCCTGAAAATGATAAAAAAATGTAAAACGTATTTAGAATTAATTTTGCTCCCCAACTTCCTTGTCCCCTCCCCCAGAAGACTTCACTGAATTATTCTAAAATTTTGCACACCATATTAAATAATGTTAATGTATTTCTCAAAGGACTTACTGAAAAAATTTAAAAGCCTTCACTGAACATCCAGCTTCTGTGAAAAGGTTCTTCAGATCATCCACTGTGACAGAAGGGCTGTGAAAAGATCACAGAGATGTAAAGTCAACTATCTTGAGCCCCAAATCTCAAAGGAAGCAAAGATTAAATCGGCGTTCACCAAATCTCTAGAGTATTTCACACTGCAGACAGATAGTAGTCAAAAGCCACGCGCTGAAGACATGATTTGGTAGGGCCCCAAAGGTGTTCAAGGTTGACACGTGTCCACATACAATCGAAGTTTTATTTTAAACCTCTGCAAAGACAAGAGCAGGTATATAAAGGGCAAGAAATTGTTTCTACTATTTATTCTTATAAAGTGATTATTATCCACACCACTGGCTTCAGTAATTAAGCTCTGACTTATCTGCGATGGCTAGAGTTCTACATTTTCAACTGCTTTCAGGGTAATTCTGAAGAGGTGGATGTGGTACCAGACTCTAAGATGGCACTCAATTCTTGCTTCCTAATATTCACACCTCACCGAGTTGGAACCGACTTGATGGCAGTGATTGAGTATTCATGGCCTTGGATCATCCTTTCCCATAGTAAACAGACATACTTGCTGCAATCGTTAGGATTACTGCAAACTGACAAAGTGTGACTTCTGACGGTAGGTCACAAGAGTCACTGCTCCCTCCACCTTGCCCTCTCTTGAAAGAAGTCAGCTGCCATTTCACAAGGATACTCAAGTGGCCCTATGGAGAGGTCGTTGTGGCAAGAAACCAAGACCTTCTCTCAATGATCAGGCACAAGAATGAGCACCCTTGGAAGTGGAGCCTCTGGCCCCTGTCAAGCATTCAGATGAGTATAGCCCACCTGATTATCTTAACTGCACCCTTACGAGGCTCTCTGCCAAAACCAACTAAGCCATTCCTGGATTCCTGACTGACAGCAATGGTGTGAGATGCTGACTATTGTGTTACCTGCTAACTTTTGGGATGATCTGTTATCCAACAGTAGATAACTAAGATAGCAGTCTATCAAATGAGTCAACTGAATGAACGTAGACTCTTTCTTTTCTTGTGGGTGCCGGCTAGGATGACGCAGTGAAGCAGTAACTGGCTCTGCAGGCAGACACCTGAACTCACCTGCTATTTCTTACCCACTTGCTGTGTCACTTCCCAATTTCACTGACAAAATGAAACAAATGATTTTACTTCAAAAGGTTATTATAGGGAATAAAAGAGGTAATACATGCAATAAAGTCCCTAGGACTTAATAGATGGTTCAAAATATGTCCTTTCCTTCTTCTAACTACAGGTTGCAAGTAGAGGCCAGCTTCTGCATAACATATTTAAGAAGCTAATAAAGACAGGGACCTGCCTTAATTTCTAAATATGATGTCCATATACCTGCCTCTATACTGATGAGCTGCTCAATTTTTAAATCTATGTCATCTAAATTTTTTTTTTCCTAAGTGACTTGTCCGAGTTTCCTAGCTGGTATGAGGTTTGCTTCATTACCCAGCTCAGATGAAAGGTTCTTCCATGTAGCCTAACTAGACACTAGCTGGTAGGGTAAGCATTTAACACAATTTTGATTGACTGTTACTAATTTCTTCATGGAACAGGATTTTTTTTAAATTGTGGTAAATGAACAATTACTTTTATGCCTGTTCAGTTCCCAATCGGATTGTCAATGTTTCACAACTTTACTCCTCTTCCCTTCAGCCTTTGTTTTCACACACACCCCTTTGTTTTTACACACACACACACACACCCACCTTTGCTCCTTTCCAAAGCTTATCTCACTCTGTATATTAGTTTTAGCTATACAAAACCACGATTTTTGCAGGTCAAAGATTTCAAGCCAGAAGAGGGGTAGGCAGATGTTTTTGCTATACAAAACCACGATTTTTGCAGGTCAAAGATTTCAAGCTAGAACAGGGGTAGGCAGATGTTTTTGGAAAAGAGCCAGACAGTGAAAGATCTCAGGCTTTGTGGGCCATACACACCTATTGCAACTCTTTAACTTTACTGTTGTGGCACAAAAGCAGTCATGGGCAATAAGTGAGTGAGTGAGTGTGGCTATGTTCCATGAAACCTTATTTATGGAGGTCTAAATATGAATTAAGGAGCTCTGGTAGCATAGTGCCTAAGGCACTTGACTGCTAACCAGAAGGCTGGAGGTTCAAACCCACCAGCCACTCCTCGGAAGGAAGGTTGGGCAATTCTACTTTCGTAGTGATACTGCCTCGGAAACCCAAGGAGGGGTCGCTATGAGTCGGGGCCGACTCGACGGCACACAACAACCACAACAACAAATATGAATTAACTGAATCTTCTCATGTGACAAAAAATTCTCCTTTTGATTTTTTTCCAGCCCTTTAAAAATGTAAAAAATACACTTAGTTCACAGCTCACGGAGAAACAGAGGGCTTTGGCACACAGGCTGTCATTTGTCATCTCCTGGGTTAGAAGACAACTAGAGACCAAGTTAATTGTAACCCTGGTTAACAAAGAGCTACAGAGTGGTCATGTAGAAATACCTTTCAGCTTTTAAGGAGCTGACATATGGCTTTAAACAATGTAGAGAATTTTTAAACAAATTCACATTATTTGACATTGCTATATTGGCTACTTAAGAGTTCTCTACAAAGGTTTTGACAAGTGGGTACCAATGGAGTATTTCTGCAGAAACTTATTTTCATAACTGAAAGGCAACTACAGGTAGTTCCCAAGTTATGACATATTTGAGTTACGACAAACCACACGAATCGCACTTACGACCATCTGGGCTTTTTGTACATCTTATCATTAATATGCACTGCCTTCAATGCTGCAGTGAATCTTTTGCTGATGTTTTCAGATGTTCCCTCACACATGTTCAACGACTGGATTTATAAAGCTGATAATAAAAGGCAATAATGAAAACCAAAAAAAAAAAAAAAAAAAAAGAGGTAATTGACAGAATTAACAAAGTCATAGGAATTTTATCATAAGTCAAGGACTACCTGTAGTTGCAAATTCCCTATTAAGGAAGAAACTTTCAAATTACTGGTAACTTTCACTTTGGTAGTATGTGACTGAAGAGATAACCTTAAAAGCAATATAGCAAATAAGCTATTATCTCACAGAAACTGGTGACCACAACAACTGCTCAGTCAGAATTAATTTCCGAGTATATTATATCTCCCAAGCCACATATTTTAAAGTTATCAACTATCTGAATGAATAACAACTAATGAAGTACATACGGGATGTTAGAAAGATGTAGAGTGGCTGATGGTGGAAAGATATTCTGGAAGTTTTTAGAGCCGGGCTTTTTAAAGCGATGCAAAGGACTGTTGCTGAAATCCTTAGTCAGACCTTGGTCTTCTTGTCCCTCTCGGGGAAGCTGAACTGCTTGATGTTTGGACAATGTGGCACGAAGCACTTTTCCATAAAGTCTCTGACCACTAAGATGGTTCATTGCTGGTACACAAGGAGACAATAAATCAAGTTTGGGTATCAAGACAGATCCTCTGTAATGTATGTTAGCATTAATTCATTTTATTTAGTCATTTAAGATTATACTGTCCATTTGAGGGTTAAAATGGTTTTAAATCCAAATACTACTACAGTGAAAAAAAATTAAGTGACTTGGTTTTACTATTCTAACAGCATTAAAAACAAACAAACAAACAAATAATAAATAACTTTCATCCTAGCAGAATGGCTAGAATGTAAGTGCTCAGTAAATGGTTACTCAATCTATTAGTTTAATCTCAAGCAAAACATTTTTTAAAAATAGTAGTAGTAATATTATAATAGCCCTTATAACAGTGAGGCTTTGCAACAACACTTTGTTGCACTGTCATTATGAGTTTTGCCTAAGATTGTAAGCCATTCAACAGTTCCAGAAAACTAATGGAAGGGAACAAATAAATAAACTAAACTAAACAAGTCACATTTACTAGTCTAATCTTAATGGAAAAATCCAACAGTCAAAGCTCTAAACATCAACAATATGTTCAAGTAGATAAATACACTTCAGACTTTAGAGTAAAAATATTTTTTGATCCTAAAGCATGTAAGTCCAAATAATAATGCAGATATAAACATAAAAAAAATGCTACTCTGTAATACACTCTTACTAGCTGTTAACAAGCTTATTTTGAAGGAAACTTCCTGTATAGGAAGAGCAGACTATCATCATCATCATCCGTCAGTAGTACCTAGTTGAGCCTGATTTGCATCTGCCATCTGAACCAAGGCATTTTCTTTCTTATTAAACATAATCTTCACTCGATGGACATCACCATACACGCCTAATTAAATAAAAAACAAGTTTTTAGTGTCTGATTATGTAATGTTTGAAGATATTATTAAATATATATAAAGGTTTTTTTCTCATACTACATACACTCCCTGGGTAATTTCATATCCATGCTGCCATATTTGTATCTCCCAAGTTTCAGATTTATTTATCTAATTCATTTCATGTGGATGTCCCACATGCACTTCAAACTTAACCTGTCCCGAACAGATTAATCTCCTCACTTCTGTGTTAACTAACTCTATGGGCAAAGGATAGCCCCATTCACACAGTGGCTCAAGTCAGACACCTGGAAGCCACCTTTTGACTTCTCCCTTTACTTAAAACCTTACATCCATCCAATCAATCACCAACACCTGTTGATTATATGGTCTAAATATCACTCACAGTTGTCCCCTTCTCCTCATCCTCACTACCATCAAAGATGACCACAACAGTCTCTTGATCGATCTCATCCAACTTTTTTAGTGTTCCCCAAAGTCAGTCCCACATCCCAGAGGACATGCACAATGATTTGCTGCTAAGCAGGAAGAAAATAATGAAATTCTTGCTTATACTGATCTGTTTTTATATAAATCAATATGGAAAAAAAGTTTTTAGCAAGTTTTATAGCAATGAAATCACAGGTAGGAGGGTCTACAGTGTGACTTGGTCCATTTGTTCAGATTCAACACGTTTCTCCTTTACACTCTTCACTGGACTCCTTCACTTCCTTGTGCTAGTATCTATCTCTATGTCACCCTGCCAGGAAAAAACATTTGTTCTCACTTTCTGCATGACTAACTCTTACTCATTTTTCATAAATCAAGGTAACTATCAATTCTATTGGTAGGTCTTCCTTGATTCTTTCTGCTAGGTCAGGTCCCTGAAGTTTTGTGAGTTGCATGGTATGGCTTTTCTACCCATAGTCTTTGTAACTCCCACCAGATTACTGGGCAGGACCATGCAAACATCTGTCAACTTGGCTGGGCAGCTGGTAGTAATTATTTCCTAGAATAAGACTGGCAATTAACTCAGTGGTGGAATTTGCCTTGAGCAACTTAGTAGCTGCTTTTAAACTCTTGACTGTTAAAGTCATCCACCTGGGGTATTTCTGTTGGAGCAGCACTAAGTAATCTTCTGGGAAAGTTCTCTCTTTCTCAAGTATGTAGAACTCTGATGTTAGGATTGGTTAGTTTTGCCACTCTGCCAGCCTTAAATTGGGCCCTCGTAGAGGCAAAGGGGGATCTCACTGCTGGCTGTGAGATGCCCAGCTGAGAGATGGTGGCAGTGGAACCAAGAGGCGTAGGATAGAACAGTAGGCTTACCTGGCCCACAGAGACGGAGGCGAGACCAAGAAGCAAAGGACAGACAGGCGTGTCTAAGGGCACGGCAGAGGGGAGACTGTCCTGATTGAAGAACCGTACTCTGAGCGGATTCTTGAATTACAGCCTGTTGCTTCCCTAGTAAACCCCAAAATCTGTGATTTCCGGTGGCCACTGCAGTGATTTATCAAAGCCAGCAAAGAGATGGTGGGTGTTGTGGGAGGGATGGTTGGTGTCAAGGCTGGTAAGAGAGCTGGAGAGTGGCAGCATGTCTGGCTTCATAGGAACAGGCCTTGGGCTGCTGATGGTGATCCTGTCTTCCTCTTGTGTAGTTAGAGAAGGTCAAAAGACGGCCCCTCCTTGCCCCTTTAGCAGTCCTCTTGTTATATGCTCCCATTAAATTAAAAAAAAAAAAAAAAAAAGCCCACCTCACTGCTGTCCAGTCAGATCCGACTCACAGCGACCCCTCCTTGGGTTTCTGAGGCAGTATGACTTCTGAGGTGGAAGTACACTGCCCAACTTTCCTTCCGAGGAGCGGCTGGTGGGTTTTAACCACCAGCCTTCTGGTTAGCAGACAAATGCCTTAAGTCCTATGCTACCAGAGCTCCTATGCTCCCATTACAATCTGTATTTCCCCTATTATAAAACTTTATTGCAATTACTTCCTAAGACTTGGTCACTACTCTATCCTCAGTGTCAAACACACTGCTAGACAGAGGTAACCAATAAATATCACTGAATGAACAAATATACTTAATTCACACCTAAAGATAACAGTAAAAGATAATATTAAAAATAGCAAAAATGAACTTACCAAATAGAATAAAAAGCCCATGTGGTGTGATCAGCTGTTTGAAGAGGATAATAAAAAACATAAGTAACTAAAAAATGTAAGTAAACATTTAAAATAAGTTTACTTACAATGTAATAAAAACATGTGACTTTGTTTAAACCTTTGATTTTATATGCTTCTTCTATATATACTAGTGATGAATTTTAGTAAAATCTTTAAACATTTCATTTGCATACAAACTTAGATCATAAGCTACTATTCCTCCTCCTGATTGACTATTTACATATAATACTTTTCAACTCACATCAGGATTGAGATTGGTGACGAGCAGGACTGAATTTCCTGGTATGCCAGCAGCCCCCGGAATGGTCATCCTTCCAGTGACAGCAGAAGAGGTGATTGCAAGAGGACCAAGAGCTCCAGGAACAGCAGGGACTGAAAGACCTTTTAAAACATCAAAAGCATTTCATTTCAGATGGTAGTTATCTAAAGAATTCTACCATTTAATATAACTTAAGCAAATAAATGGAGACAAAAGCAAAAATGTAGAAGAAAATGTGTCATTGCTCCCATAGGATATCAATGGCCAGTTCTGCCCCACAGAGTCTGTCTGGAAGCTCAGTCCCTTATTTGTTGTCTGGAAGTTGAGTTCCTTATTTGTTGCCATCATACTCAACACTTTATTTTCACATAGTTCTTTGTAGAGTAACTAGACTCAGTGGTCTTCAAAGCCATCAGATTTTTTTAGAGATCGATCAACTATAGATACTCTCTTTGTTTCTTGAAATAGATATATTCTAGTACATTTTTATAAAATAGATGTAATTTTCACACTGACTTCACCAGAAAATCAGCTGTATTAAGAAAGTATGTCCTTCAGCAAAAGCACGCATCCTGTGTAGTGCTGTATGACATTCCATATGAGAAGATCGATATGTAACCTCTAAAGTGCTGCATAAACATTATTACCACCTGCAATGGACATACTGAATTCAATATTCTTCTGTAGCTGGATATTGAGAGCTGTATATACTCTCATAGCTATTCAAGAACTACTGAAAGTTCTATGACACTTCAATATTGACGCTATACACTACACTTTAAACAGCATACCTCCCCAGAAGGTCCCCCTATTTATTTGTGTTCTCTTGTTTACAACTGTCTAATGTAAAACGTGCAGTTTATATGAAATGAATCAGCTACTTAATTTATTGATTCTTTAAGCTCCAAATTCCTTACAACAGACAGAGTGGCTACTTAACCACAAATTATGTAATTAAGTTGCAATATATTTTACATTCAGCCTGTTTTGCTTGACAATGTAAGAAGGTCATTACTACCATCATCGATACTGCTGGAAAAATATTTTGAAACCATGCAGGCCATGTCCTCTGGATAGAGAGTTCTACATGAAATCCATAGGCAATAGCCCTTCTTATAACCTCTTCCTCTGTCCTTTTAATCTAATCAACTTCTGGATAACTTTTGTTATTGTCTATAGGCCTATTACATACAAGTTCAGAATACAGCTTAGCTACACTGTAGGTAGAGGGTGTATCTGTGTGTGTATAAAAACAAAACCATCACTGCTGTCTTGATTCTGATTTACAGCAACACTCTAGGACAGAGAAAAACTGCCCCAGAGGGATTCCAAGGCTGTAAATCTTTATGGAAGTAGACTGCCTCATCTTTCTCCCATGGAGTGGCTGGTGGGTTCAAACTGCTGACCTTTCAGTTTGCAGCCGAGTGCTCTAAGTACTGTGCCACCAGGGCTCCTGGCTGTGTGTATATACACATTCTCTATTAGATCTTACAAGTCTTATCAAGTCAGAAGCCCTCTTTTACTGTTTTTTTTTTTTAAACTTCTTCTTAGCATCCAGTAAGTATTTTATACAGATTATGTCCAAAAGAAATACCAGAATATCTACAATGAGGGGGGAAAAAAAAAACAAACAAACCCCTACCACTGCTTTCAAATGCCTACCAATTAAACTTCTGGACTCTTCAAATAAATAAAACTACGTGTAATGCCTTTATTTTAATGGGCTATGCAGAACATTCAATTACACATATATTAAACCAGAAAAATCCATTGGTGTTGAGTTGATTCTGACTCATAGCAACTGTACAGCTGCCCCACAAGGTTTCCAAGGCTATAAATCTTCATGGAAGCAGATTGTCCTATCTTTTTCCAGCTAAGTGGCTGGTGAGTTTGAACCACAGATCTTAGTTAGCAGCCAAGCGCTTTAACTCTGTGCCACCATGGCTCCTCAAACATATATTAAGATGTCTTAAAACCACCAAAACATGAAAATTTAAATTTCAACCTTCCTATCGCTCTTTCCTGTCTAGTTAACACCACCCTCTTTCTCAAAAAGTTCAAAATCTCAGTATTTGAAGGGTGGTGTGTAAAGATTACTGCCAGAGAGCAGCTAAGCTGCAACTGAAAATTAGAGTTATATTCATTGAATCAGCTGGAAGCTGGAATCTTAATATATATATAATATAATATAATATAATATAATATAATATTATATATATAGGAGCTCTGGTAGCATAGTGCCTAAAGCACTTGACTGCTAATCAAAAGGCTGGCGGTTCAAACCCACCAGCCACTCCTCGGAAGGAAGATGGGCAATATACTTCTGTAGTGATACTGCCTTGGAAACCCAATGAGGGGTCGCTGTGAGTCGGGTCTGACTTGCCGGCAAATAACAACAACATATATATATTATATATATATATATGGGCTTAACACTATGCCACTCACTCCCCTTAATCACCCACTTCAGAGTATTATCCCTAGGCACCAGAGCTAAAACTACAAAGTCACTTTTTTCCTTCTTCTTAAATTATGATCAAATTAGCTTTTATATTTGCAAAAAAGTCAGAAGTCATTATGAAAGTATTAACCAACAACTATCTGTTAATTATCTCCCTTGGTTAAATAGGAAAATAGATTTATATATATCTCCCCCTTGAAATAAATGGTATATACCCCCTCTATCTTCTTAACTAATGCCAAAGAGGTTTCCTAAAGAAGCTGAATAGTAAATATTTATTAATTCAAATATTTACCAATTGCATACCAATTGTACTGAGGGCTAGTAAGACATAGGTCTGTTCAACATATAACTGATAAGTTTATCAGCAAAGACAGAAGCAGCTTATACATTCTATATAATAATTGAAAAGGCAAATCTAAGGTTATTTAACGTAATCAACCTATGATTACATAGGTTACATAGTAATCTGTACCCAAGGGAAGTATAAGTGATGCAGACCATATAATGGAAATTAATGGAGCTTCGACTGGTGGCATAGTGCCTAAGGCATTTGACTGCTAACTAGAAGACTGGCAGTTCAAACCTACCAGCCACTCCACAGAAGGAAGACTGGGTAATCTACTTCCGTAAGGATTTGCCGCCTTGGAAATCCAAAAGGGGATCGCTAGGAGTGAGAATCGACTTGATAGCAGTGAGTTTGGTTTTGGTTTGGTTAGAGTGGAACCAGAGAGAATTCTGTATAAAACACATGGAAGTTGTACGTGTGCACACGTCCAAGGGGCCACCTGTACGGCTGGAGCACATTAGGCTTTTACTGTGAGTTCTGCAAACACGTTACACTCTTTCATCCTGTAAGTTCCTAGAAAATGTAGAACTTCATTAAAAAAACATTTTAAATTTAATTTAAAAACAGTCACCTGTAGCTTGAGGAAATCCAATGGCTGGGCCAAATCCAGCAGCCCCTGCATATGGTGAGGAAATTATACCTGGTGCACCTAATGGGGAAGAGAAGCGAAAATAAATAAACTGCCTTCTAGGAAAGTTTACAAAGCAATATAACACGGCTTTAGGAGAGTGTATCGCCGATAAAGACATTCTGTCCTGAAGTAAAGATCTATTCCACAAGTGAGCCCTGATGTATAAGTAAATGGCCTCTGCCACCTACAGAGACAAATTCCTTTCAGGTGGGTTCTAGGTTTACACATACAGCTTAACTACATTTTGAGTTTCTGAGTTCTAGATTAGGCTGAGATTCTTACCCTTATTCAGAGCCTTGTTTTGATACCACAGTTATAATTATTAAGTCTTACTACTCTTATCTATGTGGTACTGTTCTGATAAAAGAAATCTAAGGCAAAATCCTCTCCTATGAGAAGCTTACAAATTAAAAAGGTGAATGACAGACAGGGTATTTATATGCTGAGGGTCTAGTTATAAACACAAATGCACTGCAGATGGTCTGAGAAGACGGAATCATAGAGGGTTCACTGTGATTGGTTGGTGAAGGTTTCTCAGGAGGTAGGACTCAAGCTAGATGGTATGTGCTTGGATAGCACAGGGCTGAGTCTGTCTTAGATATTAAACAAATACTGGTCTTCTTTCCTTCCTTTTTAGGAGCTTGGTGACTAGTATCAACAACAACAACAAAAATGGAGACAGTTCTAGTAGAAAAATAATTAACTTGGTTTTGGATATGTCAAATTTAACATGGCGGTAAGATGCTTAAATGGAAATGCCTATGAGTGGAAATGAGGGGCACATTCAGTATAACCATTACAAGCAGAGACACAGACTTGTAAATCATCTGTGTGGAAACCAATGTAGAAGTCCTATGAATGACAGCGCCATTGAAAAGGCTCAAGACAAGATGAAGAGAGTGAAAACTGAGCCTGGAAGTATAAAGCAGAAGAAGGAAGAGAAACATTCTAAGGAAAAGAGAAAAAGTAAATAGCCATAAAAATAGAAAAACCAGTGAATCTAAGAATCTAGAGGGACCCCTGGTAGTGTAGTGCCTGAGGCATCTGATGGCTAACCAGAAGGCTGGCAGTTCAAACCCACCAGCCACTCCTTGAAAGGAAGGCTGGGCAATCTACTTCTGTAGTGATACTGCCTCGGAAACCCAAGGAGGGTTTGCTACAAGTTGGGTCCAACTCCACAGCACATAACAACAACAACAAAGAATCTAGAAGAAGAGAGTTTCAAAGGAGGGAGGGAGAAGTCTCAATAAAGGTTGAAGAAAATGAGAAATGGAAAAGGTAAAGGCAATAGTTTTAGAGCAACATGAGAAGTCAGATTACAAAAGACAAAGGGAGATTTTTTTGTTTGTTTTTAAATGTTACGGAGATGAGTATATTTATAGGCAGAAGTATGTAGGCTTTATATTCAGAGGCACTGAAAGCTCATATAATCTTTTCTCTTCAATAAAGAGAATTATTTAATGTAATTTGTAAAATATGTAACTGATTTATCATAATAGTTCAAGAAAATACAGTTGTAAGAGATTACAGGGATAGAGCTAGCAGAGAGAACTGATAGTAAGTGAAGACACAGGAACTGGGAATGACTGACAGAATAACTATAAAGTAAGGGAGAATGGAATCCATTCAACAAAAATTAACTGAAAACACATTATGAGCCAAACATTCTTCCAATGCTGAGGAAGCAATGAAAAAAGCAGACAACAATCTCTGTCTTTGCTTAACTTACATTCAAGGAGTTCAGGATCACAGATGAAAGGATTCATTTTTACACCAGACAGAACTATATTTAAGGCATAAAGGAATAAATTAATGGAAAAAGATTAAAAATGTTTTAAAGAAAAAGAACTTAACAAGAGGCTTTGAAACAGATATGAGCAACTAAGGAAATTTATGCTAGACACTCTAATTCAGTTAAACATAAGGAGGATTCAGTTAAACATAAGGGGGGATATGGGAGATTTTGTTATTATTCCTGCCAAGTATTCATTTGCCCTCCCATCCATATAACTCTAGCCAGTCAATGACTTGCAGTGTCTCCTGCAATTCATACTGGGCTTGCTCATGTGATATGTTTTGGCCAAGTAATACGAGCAGACATGACATATGTCAACTCTACAAAGAAGCTTTAAGAAGCACCGAGTTTACACCAGCTCTCTTATTCTTCTCTCTCTGCCACAAGAATGCCATGTCTCAAATAGGGGTGACATCTTCTGTTTAAAAGACATGTGGAGAACTGCCCAACAGCTGATTCAGAATTGCCAATAAGTCATGTGAGAGAATGTTAATCACTGTAAACTACTGAGTTGGTGGGGGAAGGGAGAAGTTTTTAAACCCAACAAAGATGACAATATAGCAAACTATGAATGATGGGTAAGGCAAAGTAGCAGGATGTGTTAGAGAAATGGTCAGGATAGGTCAAAGATGGCAGCATAAGCAAAACTCTCTGAGGTTATCTAGGGAAAAAGCACTCCAGGCAGAAGGAATCATCAGTGGACTGACTGAAGGTGGGAACATACCTGGCACATTTGAGAAAAAGGATGTCGGCATTGTGAACAGAACATTATATCCCTCCTCAATTTAGAGACCATTTAAAGAATAGATTTGAGGCACTGAACACCAATGACTGAAAGCCAGAGGAACTGTGGGATGACATCAAGAACATCATTCATGAAGAAAAAGGTCATTAAAAACACAGGAAAGGAAGAAAACACCAAAATAGATGTCAGAAGAGACTCTGAAACTTGCCCGTGAGCAGAGAGTAGCTAAAGGAAAGGGAAGAAATGACGAGATAAAAGAGCTAAACAGAAGATGTCAAAGAGCAGCTCAAGAAGACAAAGACAATTACTATAATGAAATATGCAGAGACATGGAGCTGGAAAGCCAAAAGGGAAGAACACACTCAACATTTCTAAAGCTGAAAGGACTGAAGAGGAAGTTTTAAGCCTCGAGCTGCAATACTGAAAGATTCTACAGACAATCTATTGAATGACGCAGGAAACATCAAAAGAAGATGGAAGGAATACACAGAGTCACTGTACCGAAAAGAATTGGTTGATGTACGTCTATTTCAGAAGGTGGCAGATGATCAAGAACCAATGGTATTAAAGGAAGAAGTCGAAGCTGCTCTGAGGGAAGTGGCAAAAAACAAGGCTCCAGGAATTGATGGGATACCCATTGAGATGTTTCAACAGACGCCGCACTACAGGCATTCACTTGGCTATGCCAGGAGATTTGGAAAACAGCTACCTGGCCAACTAACTGGAAAAGATCCATATTTGTACCCATTCCAAAGAAAGGTGATCCAAAGAATGTGGAAATTATCAAACAATATCATTAATATCATACACAAGTAAAACCTTACTGAAGATAATGCAAAAAAGGTTACAGCAGTATATTGACAGAGAACTTCAGAAATGCAAACTGGATCCAGAAGAGGGCATGGAATGAGGGATATCATTGCTGATGTCAGACGGATCCTGGTTCAAAGCAAAGAATACCAGAAAGATGTTTATTTGTGTTTTATTGACTATGCAAAAGCATTCGATTGTGTGGATCATAACAAATTATGGATAACACTGAGAAGAATGGGAATTCCAGAACACTTAATTGTGCTCATGAGGAACTTGTACATGGACCACGAGGCTGTCGCTCAAACAGAACAAGGAGACACTGCGTGGTTTAAAATCAAGAAGGGAGTGTATCAGGGTTGTTTCCTTTCACCATACTTATTCAATCTGTATGCTGTACAAATAATCCGAGAAGCTGGACTATATGAAGAAGAACATGGTATCAGGATTGGAGGAAGAATCATTAACAATCAACATTATGAAGACAACACAACTTTGCTCAATGAAAGTGAGGATGACTTGAGATACTTACTGATGAAGATTGAAGACTACAGTCTGCAGTATGAATTACACACCTCAATATAAGAAAACAAAGAATCACAATGGGACCAATAAGCAGCATCATGATAAATGGAGAAAAGATCGAAATTGTCAAAGACTTTATATTACTTGGTTCTACAATCAACACCAATGGAAGCGGCAGTCAAGATATCACACATTGTACAGCACAGGGCAAATCTGCTGCAAAGGACCTCTTTCAAGTGCTGAAAGCAAAGATGTTTCTTTGAAGACTAAGGTGTGCTTGACACAAGCCATGGTAATTTCAGTCGCCTCATATGCATGTGAGAGATGGACAACGTAAAAAGAAGATCAAAGAAGAGTTGATGCTTTTGAGTTATGGTGTTGGAGAAGAATGCTGAAAGTATCATGAACTGCTAAAAGAACTAACAAATCTGTCATGGAAGAAGTGCAACCAGAATGCTCCTTGGAAGCGAGAACAGCCAAACTTTGTCTCACCTACTTTGGTCATGTTCTAAGAAGGGACCATTCCCTGGAGAAGGCTATCATGCTTGGCAAAGTGGAGGAACAATGAAAAAGGGGAAGGCCCTCAACAAGGTAGACTGACACAGTGGCTACAACGATGGGCTTGGGCACAGCAAGAATCGTGGAGCTGGCACAGGATCAGGCAGTATTTCATTCTGCTGCACATGAGGTCACTATGAGTCCGAGACAACCTGACAGCACCTAACAACAATAGGGTGAACAGAAGAACCAAGGGAGAGAGTCAAAGATGGTGAGGTCAAAGAGGTTAAAGTGGGGTGAATGCTACAGGGCCTTGCAATCAAGTGTAAAGATACAGGGATTTATGCTAAAAGAATTGGGGCACCATGGAGAAGATGTCAGCATTAGGGTGAAATGATTTGACTTATTTTTCTTTTCTAATTTAGATATAATAAACTGTACATATACAAAGGACACAACTGATGAGTCTGATTTATGTTTATACATGCACAACCATCATCACAACCAAGATACAAATATTGCCATCACTCTTGAAAATTTCCTGTCCCTTTGCAATCCATTTCACTTTGTCCCCTGATCTGCTTTCTTTCACTATAAATTAGTTAACATTGTACAGAATTATATATAAAAAGCAGCATATAGTAG